GTGTGTGTGTGTGTGTGTGTGTGTGTGTGTGTGTGTGTGTGTGTGTGTGAGAGATGTATGTATGGGATGAAGTAGTACTTTACATCCCTACTGTACTGACAAATCCTCCTCATGCTGAACAGCAACACCGCAGGTAAAAAGCACGATCCTCTCCCCTTTTGGATTCTTTGCATAACAACTACCGTTTCAGCAAGGCGAACACAAGAAGCAGCCATTGTTAAGGGCAAACTGGGCATTTTAATCAGTGGTTAGGCTTATTAGCAGCAGGGTTTGACTGGCAGCAATGACTTTCATCGAAGAATTCAGGTGTTGGAACCGTGATTAAAGTAAAGCCAATTACACAAAGACGCTTGTCCTGCGAGCAGCCTGCTTAAAAGCAGGTTTTGATGACGTGCGCTCCTTCTCCTTTCATTTTGTAGACGTGCTGTTGGACGTAGAGTCGACGCGACGGTGATTCATTTCACTGTGTGCGCAACAAAAGCCTGTGCACTGATTTGCCTGCATACTGCCGTAGATGTATTCTGGGTTTCCAGCTGAATGACTCATTGTTGTTTTTCAGTAGTTTTGACTCAATGCCACAGTTTACAACACGGTATGATGTTAATTCAAGCAAAGTTTTGCAATAAGTTTCATCTTTGTGGTTTTCAGAATCAATGAAAAAGTGTCAATTGATGTCAGACAGATATCAGTCAATTGCCATAAAATGATACAGCTTTGCACCCAGACTTTCAATTAACAGCCGCCTTTTTTATTTACCGCAACTATTACCCGGTCCCCCTTAAACGTCAGTCAGCCTGGAAGTTGTCTCCAACTTTCAGGGCGAACCCCCATCAATGTTATCAGCAGGTGGCAAGCAACACACAGGAATGGAGTTCGCTACTTATCTTACATTTTTTTCACACATTTTTCTTCTACAAAAATCTTAAAAATACATAAAAAATAAATAAAAAATCCCCCTGATGCTTAGGCCCGGCGAGGAGTCAACTTAGGCCAGACGGGCTTTGCAATACATGGGCGGGAACCCTGCCACGCCAGCTGTCATGCACCGATGTTGTGGAGAGCATTAATTCTAGCATTCTGGCATTGGATGTAAAAAATGTTATCGCTGAACGCAATCTGTGTTTTTGCACAATCATCCAATATCAACACTGTTGTCTCCTGGCTGCTTATTACTGGGAGGCTGACTAGTCGGTGCCAGCAAAGCCTTTCTTCCATACTTCTTCATTATCTCACCTGTCTGTCTTAGGACACCCATGTGCCTTCATCCTCAGACCGTTTTCTAACCAGCTGATCTTCCTGATTCAATCTGTAACAGGAAGTGCTGATATGTGGCCTGAAGTCTTGAACCGTTCCAGCCCGTCGTATTGCTGCCTTTTTGAGGATGTGTCGCCGCATCTGTTAAGAGTGCTTGCTGTATAGGCACGCTACTAGTGTTACGTTGGTCTTGATTTGTCGGTGTGTGCGCATGATGGAATGGGAGAGAATGTATATTAGCTGCTAATAACTGATTACGGCCAGCAGGAGGGATGGACATATGCATAGGAAATTGAAAATCTTCTTGCCAAACTGGCTGGCAGGAGAGCAGGCTGTCCTCTGCATGTCTAAATCACCGTCTGATCAAATGTGAGTCTGGACAGTTTTCACCACCTAAACCAAATGTGTTCATTATTATTATTATTATTTTTTCTAGATATCATTCTTTCCCCCCATGTTTTGTGTTTGTGATCTGCGAGTATCGATCTTTTCACCAGCATGCATTGGGATGTATACTTGAGCTTGCAGTATATGAGTAGGTGCAATCAATCTTGACTGATCTGTAATCGGCACATGAGGAGTCAACGTGTTCATCTCACTGACCTTTCGTCCTCTCAATCTTCGCAGCCATTTTTCAGTCCTCCCACCGCATCGGGAACGCCTGTGGGCTTGACAATTGGCTGTCGGGTTAGGACGGATCCGCCGCAGGTGAAGGAGGTTTGGCCGCTCAGACGTGCTGGTTTTTGCCGATTATTTACACGTTTTCAATGACTCGCCTCCTTTGCAGAGCGAGCGCGCTTTAATATAAGCAGCTTAGAGCTGACGTTAGTGTTTGGAAGCTAAACAAGTCGCTATTTTTATTTTTTGTTGCTGTGAATACATCTCCTTCAAACACCTGTATTTATTCAAGTTCCTCACCCAAACATGTATTTCACAAGATTAAATTTGAATATAATTCACCTTCACCCAAAACCCATTTTTACGGAGTAGAGCATGAATGCATCGTAATGCAGGTCAAGGTAACCTCTGTGCTGTCGGCAGACGAGCCGGTCACTGCGATGACTCTGAACAGCGTGTGTGTGTGTGTGTGTGTGTGTGTGTGTGTGTGTGGCTGTGTCAATGTAAAACTACTATACGATGGCAGCACGTGTGTAAATATGACAAAAAATATGATAATAAATATAATATTAGCTGAAGCCCGACTGGTTTCGATCTACAGCAGTAAAGCACCTCAGAAACAGGCACAGCAATTATCTTCAAAACGTCAAATATCCCCTCCTTCCCTCCTCATCATGTTGTTGCGATATAGAGATCGGTGTTCTGTCGATGAACGTGTTCCTGTGAGGCTGTCACTGAGTTTCCTCCGTCCAGCATCACCGGGTTTTATAGTGCACCCGTTCCTATATGACAGTCACCTCTTAACCCAGCCAAATATGAAATGGAATTGTCCCATTTCAGGTGGTCATTGGTGAGAGGTTACTGGATTGGACACACTGCAGTAATATCTTTGACAGTGGCTCTGCAAATGGGTTTCAGAGACATCCGGAGGTCTATCAGGTGTCCATTTTCCCTGCAAAACTGAAGAATATGTTCTGCTTTTATATGATTTATATAATCTATATTGACTATCTTTGGACTGAAGAATGTTTGCCGAACAAACCAAGTAATGTGAAAAGGTCACTATTTAATGACATTTAATAGACTAGAGCCCCGAATAGACTGATTTTAGATTGGGGCTATTGGGCTAGTAAAATCAATAACTTAGTTTAAGAATTGATGATATAATCAATAGTGAAATAGTCATTAGTTGTACCACCTCATACATTGGCCCTGCCATGATATATTGATGATTATTAAAACCATTTTGTAAGAAAGCTGAATGCCTGAATAAGAACCCAGGATCTGATGCCTTATGATTGCAGAAGTGCACAAAAACTATTGATGAAGCTGCTTTCATTTCTTTTTTTGGCCTCTTGGGGAAGTGGACCAAACTCAAAGTAAAATGTAATTCACACGTTCGCCGTATAAAATCATTATGGCGACCTTATTAGCAAGCACTGGACTCCATTTTGAGTTTGGTTTTGGAGATGTCTGGTGGCTTGATGAATGGAAGTCCATTATTCACTCTTCTTTTATCTCTGCTTTGGTCTCCACCACCTTGTGAGGAACATAGGCAGCAGATGAAAGTTCCTCTTTG